ATCACATAAACTTATTACCAAGCGTTTACTTAGTAATAGGAAACGGAAGGAATATACTTATTGAACAAGATGGAAAGCAGTAACAGCGAACTGGCGTTCCAATGTCGTCGAACCGATTTGAATGTGGGTTAAAAATTAAATATAGTCTCGTATAGGTCAACGGCTCGCTATAAAACCGATCGACTAATGGATTTGTCCGCGCTTCAAGATTCATTTCACGGCGTACGGCCCAGTAAAGTGTGCCATTCGGACCGGACTTTTTGCTGTATATATAAAATAGATGTTTCGGCCATCATTAAACCTTACTACGTAAGGTTTCATGGCCAAAACAGGGGCGGTGTAAGAATATCCAATGATCAATATCCCTTGCCTGTCGTAAGAGGCGATAGAGGGAAATTGAAACAGATGGGCAGCTTATGACACATCAAAATAAAAAAATAAATACCTCCCACCCCCCCAAGAGGTAATTAATAGGAGGGGGGCAATGTTCAGCGGAATAAGGTGTAATGTAAAAAATGATGGATTGATGGATGGCACCTTACTCGATATCGGTGGGTGGATCGCGAATGCAAGACAGAAGTGGACTAGTTACGTAGTTGTCTTTTTAGTGTATTGCCAGGACTTTCCCCAGCTCAGATCAGTCTAATTAATCTTGGTTCTGTTAGTAGTAAGAAAAGTTCGGTAGTAAAGATGAACCTACATTGTCCAGAGCCATCTTATATTCATCAACATATTGCACGTTCTGTCGTTACTCCTAGTAGGGGATACCTTACAATGCGTTTGGCGTTACGAGGCTTGCAAATCGAAAACCTTTCATTATTTCTTATTTAATAACTAGCTGCCCGCGACTTCGCTCGCGTGTTACGGTTTTTATGTTTTTGCGCGGAACCCTAATTGTTTTTCTTAACTAAAAGTAGCCTAAGTTACTCCTTATGAAATCAGCTATCTGCCAGTGAATTTTGTGTTAAAGATACAAAGCCTTAATATTTATCTACATATACATCTATACAAATAAATAAAATTGAAGTGTCTGTTTGTAATGTCAAAATTACAGTTTTTTACTAAATGCATATGAAAGTAAATACGGTACTTATGACGAAAATACAATTTTTAAAATTTTTGTCTGTCTGTCTGTTCGTTCCGGCTATTCTCCGAAACGGCTGGACCGATTTTGACGGGATTTTCACTGGCAAATAGCCGATGTCTCAAGGAGTAACTTAAGCTACTTTAATTTTATAAAAAGAGTTAGGTTTCCGCGCAAATAAATTAAAACCCCAAATAACACCCGGGCGAAGTCGCAAGGAACAGCTAGTCTATACAAATAAATAAAATTGAAGTGTCTGTTTGTAATGTCAAAATACCAGCTTTTTACTATGCATATGAAAGTATATACGGTACTCATAACAAAAACACAATTTTTAAAATTCGTGTCTGTCAGTCTGTCTGTTTGTTTCGGCTAATCTCCGAAACGGCTGGACCGATTTCGACGGGTCTTTCACTGGCAGATAGCTGATGTTATGAAGAGTAACTTAGGCTACTTATATTTTAGAAAAATAATTAGGGTTCCGCGACACATAATTAAAACCCTAAATCACACGCGGGCGAAGTGGCGGGGAACAGCTAGTAGTGAATATAATTAAAACCCCGACTTCAGAAACTGTTATTGTGAAATAATTTTGTTCTTTTTAGTTTTTTGAAGTCTGCTCTTACTTTATAAAAAGTATATTTTTGACTCTTTTCAGTGTACTAAGGAATACTAGAATAAAATGAATAACAATTTAATTACTTACATCATAAAATTCCTCCATTCAGACCAGCGCTGAAGTATAAGCAATTTTAACCTATATTAATTACCTATAATACAAAAATAATCACTTATGGCAATTCTGAATTAAAGAAGTTGATACAAAAAATAAATAAAATAGCATAACATAGTCGAATTAAGAACCTCCTCTTTCGAAATTGGCTAAAAATATGAATAAATTGTTGTCTATTTCATATTTCTATTAGTATACTCAGGAACTTTATATTACAGCGTGTCTAGATAACTCTTGGCCGACTTTTAAAAATTTACCAAAGACTAAAAGCATGACATTGAATTGCCGTCCAAACACGTTTCAGAGATAAGGTTAACCTCAAGAGAAAAATAACTTACTGCTAGAGAAGGCGAAAACACTCAGACGTATTAAAGTTTCAGAACAATTTCCAAGAGTGTCTTCCGTTGAATCTTCGTATTAGTCTAGGAAAGGTTTTATCAATATATTTTTTTTTTTACTTTATGCATCTATCCATCGATCCATTACAGCCTATAATAGTTCATTGCTGAACATAGGCCTGCCCCATAGATTGCTTCATAGCGAGTATTGCCATAGTTTTTTTTTAAATTTATTTATTTCAACTAACAACTATCGTGACAGGAAAAACCTAATGCGACAGTGTAGTTCTTATCATGCATACCAAAATGGCTAAGCTTGTCAGGCGGGTTGACAATCGAACTTGCTTATGAAAATGAAAAACAGTCCACTGCTCGAAATATGCCTTTCCTACAGTAGGGAATGTATTATAATATCATCATCATTACAGCCCTTCACAAGTCCACTGCTGAACATAGGCTTCCCCCAAGGAATGCCACAAAAAACGATCCTGAGCCACCTGCATCCATCGACTTCCTGCATGTCTTACCAGGTCGTCACTCCGATCTAGTGGGGGGACGCTCTACACTTCGTCCGCCGGTACGTGGCCACCATTCGAGAACCTTTCCCCATCGGTTGTCGGTTCTTCGAGCTATATGGCCGGCCCATTGCCACTTCAGCTTACTAATCCGTTGGGCTATGTCGGTCACTCTGGTTTCTACTGCGGATATCTTTATTATAATATGTATATATCTAATCACTATCTTTACTCTTGGCAGGTGAATTGCCTGACAGAATGTTGTATGTTTAGATTTGATTAAAATATTGTATCAAACAGAGGATCTTATTTATAATTTGTATCTAAAAGTACTATAAGATTAAGGTAAGCAGTTTTATTTTAGTTCAGGTTTAAACGAGGCGAATGGTCGGTTAATTTTTGACGTACGAAGGAACTTGTAACTTTAACAAAACATAATAAATTTTGGCGTTGACGTAGATCCGTTAAAAACCTTGAACACTTATTTACACGTGCAAGTAAATAATGTAATCATGCGTACGTGCTAATTCAGTTACTTATAAATCTTATTAATGAAGCCTGTATGCGATTACTATTACATCTCATTTAGCATTATTTGCTGTTAGTCGTTTTATTTTCATAATGATTTATATTTACGCGAAGACTACACATTAAATGAAACTAATTTTTTTACGGATTTTATCGCGTTTAATTGAACTTTTTAATTCCCGACGTTTCGGTGCTTGAAGTATGTATACTTCAAGCCGCCGAAGAAGATTAGTCAATTTTTAACATCTGTCAAGTGTCATATCCCTCTACAAGATGCAGGAGTACAAGCTGGATTTTGAATATGGTCTCTCTTACATAAGACAAACAAAAATATCTATAAAAACCCACGTGAAAGAACATATTATACGTGGTAGAGCGTATGTATTATACTTATACGTGGTAGAGTCATGTTGCAGCTATATATGTAGTATAGTTGTAGCACGAATGGGTCGGTTCGGCCGGGGAAGGACCACGCTCTCACAAAATACCAGCGTAAAATAGCAGCTTAACATTACTTTGTTTCGTATGGTAAGTGTAGAGAACCGGAGGCCCTTTTTACTGGAAAAGAGGCATTCCATCTTAGTCCTCACGGATGCCAACGCATCTGCATTTTGATTCTTTATTAATGATAGATGTTAATGTCTATGGGTCATAGCAACCGCTTACCATTAGGTGGACTGTGTGCTCATTTGTCGTCACCCTATCCTATAAAAAAAATATAGCTGACTTGAAGCACCGACCTTCCTGTGTGTGCAGTGTGTGAACATGTTCAAGATCGTCCCGCCTTTACATTAGATTTGATAGACCACAAATCACTCACAAATCCTCGCAAAGGAACACTGATTCCTACCAAGGATGATTCGCGAGGCTATTGAAATTTAAAAAAAAAAACATCCTAATTTCAATAGAGAAGATGGATGGGTGCTGCCATCTGCTTGGGATCCTATAATTAATAAAATTAAATCCAAACAAAACCATACCACTGCAAGACTTCAAGATACTGTAAGCTCATTCTGCGTATTCCAAAAATTAATATTAAAAAACAGAAGGTAGCCGGACTAACTATGACATCGGGACGTCAAACATCTCAGTCTTCCCAGTGACCATGGATGAAATGAAACGTCTTGATTTAAAAAGTTAAATTAAACACGATAAAATCCGTAAAAATTAGTTTCATTTAACGTTTTATTTTCGTTGCAAGTGTTAAATATAATTTCAAGTCTATAAGTAGTCAATTCTGAGTATTAAGTGTGTAGTCAAAAACTACTAGGCGAATCTGTCGTTCCAGGTACCTTACTCTTTCAAAGATTTTAACTAAAAATCGTTTGAACTAAAGCACCAGCATTATTACTCCATGTTTTTTTTAACTTATTATAAATTAGTGCTTGACTACAATTCCACCTGGTAGTAAGTGGTGATTAACCTTAGATAATAAATCGCACCGTCTTAGCGTAACAGAAGCCTCTTTACTCTTGTCTAGAAGACATTTTTTAATATGTCTGTAGAATTTTTGGAGGTTGTGGTGGATTTTTGTTCGAGCCTGCCACATCCAGGCATAAATTCCTATGGTCCCCGATATAAAAATATTTATAAATAAATCAAAGCAAACTATGTCAAGTTTTGTAAAATGTAGGTATGTTGTATGAAATTTTGCTGAGGGAGTTTGGGAAAGTAATAGGTATTAAATATTAATAGAACAATTGTTAAGTTATATACGGGTTTATTTTTAGTTACGTTGTATACAGAATAAAATTTGCTACTTTAAAGAATTGCGTATCTATATATATTTTTTTTCTTTCCAGGGAGATAAAGGAGCCTGTCAAAACATCTTTACTTCATAATGGTACGTTTTTGCTAAAATATATATTTATTAAGTTGAATAAGAATTTTCTTGTTTACCAGCGTAAAAGTCCACTGCAGGACTTGGGCCTCTCCCGTCGTTGGGAAGATTCGTCTTAGTTGTCAGCTTGGCAGCTGTATATTGACGACCGTAGTATCTGACGTCTCGCAAATTTGATGCTGTCGTCCATCGCCGGTGTGGTTACTTTACGACTGGCGTAAACAACATATGGTTATACCGCATTCTATGGTAAGCCATGACATCTTTATTGCGTTTCCCTTAGTCGCCTTTTTTATAGAATAAGGGTGACAAACGAGCACACAGTCCACCTTGTGGTAAGTGGATGCTGTGGTCCATAGACATACATTCATCCTCAATTAAGAACTTTGCATTTTAATTCGCTAACGAAGATTGATGCAGATGTCTATAGGCCACAGCAACCACTTACCATCAGGTGGACTGTGTGCTCATTTGTCACCTTATTCTATATAAAAAAAAAGAAATAAAATGATGTTCAGATGCGTTGTCACCCGTGAGGACTAAGATGTAATACCTCGTTTCCAGTAAAAAGGGTCTCCAGTTCTCTACACTCACCATACGAAACACAGCAGTATTGAGCTGCTATTTTACGCTGGTATTCTGTGACGGGCGTGGTCTAACTCCGGTTGAGCTGACCTATTCGTGCTACAACCATACTAAAGCTGCAGCGGGCTCTACCAAATATAAAACTCTCTTCTAACGACACCCACGGCATGAAATCCTAAAATAGGGTGATGGATTATTTCATGCCGCCTAGACACGGCTTGAATAGCCATCCATTCATCCATCGCAGCCTATAAAAGTCCACTGCTGAACAACCTCCCTCACAGATTGCCTCAGATTTTGCTTGGCGGCTAAGCAACCGCAGTTACTGATAATTTTCAGTTGGTATCAGGAAGATGCTGATGCCCATCTCCTGTTTCAGTTTCCTTCTGTCTCCTTTTACGACACCCACGGTATGATAAGCGGTAGTGAATATTCATGCACCGTCACTACACGGCAATAAGTATTTGCTACGATTTAATTAAAACATTAGCAAAGAGATCTGGATAAAGATTTAGAATACATTTTTGTTCCAACTTTGGGTGAAGCATTTTAGTTTTCCACGCCTCCATTACCTGGGAAAATTCCACTTAAACCAGTCGCGTGAAAACAGCTTGCTCATGTTTATTAATAAACCTATAATATATTTAATAAGTAAAATATGCCTTGCCATTACGCATTCTTAATTTTAATATCTTTGCTGTTAGATTATAAAGGCAAAAATGTTGATTAATATCTCACTGACGTTATTATTTTTTTGTTTCTTTACTTAGTTTAAAATATGTTTTTATTTACCTAGTACAAAAAAGCGAAGGTTCTATAATATTCGTATTCGATTCGGCATAATATGTTTATTTATGTACGATTTTCGGAATTGCTGAACTGATTTAAATTATTCTTTTTTTTTTATTGAATAGTTGTACTTCAGACGTGGTTCTACATATATAAATTCGAAGGATAAATCCATCTCTGAGAAAAAAAAATAGGCGATGAATATTTTGAGATTGAAGTGGTCGAAGAAAAAGATCTTTGGGAGATTATTTTTTATACAAGTTCTATACAAGTACTTTTTAAACGTGGTAGCGCCATGCTGCAGCTATATTAGTAGTATAGCTGTAGCACGAATGGGTTGGCTCGACCGGGGAAGGACCACGCTCTCACAGAAAGCCAGCGTAAAATAGCAGCTTAACGCTGCTATGTTTCGTATGGTGAGTGTAGAGAACCGGATACCCTTTTTACTGGAAAAGAGGCATTCCATCTTAGTCCTCACGGATGACAACGCATCTGCATCTTGAGTCTTTATTGAGAATAGATGTAGATGTCTATAGGTCACAGTAACCACTTACCATCAGGTGGACTGTGTGCTCGTTTGTCACCCTATCCTAAAAAAAAAAATACAAGTAAGGGTGACGTTAAGTATACTGTCCGCCTGATAATGTCCCCGACCTAAGAGTAAAAGGGTCTTCGGTTATCATCGCTCACAATACGAAAGACAGAAATATTATGTTGCTATTTAGACTGGTATTAGTTCGAGCGTGGTTACTTCCCCGGTCGTGCCGAGCTCTCAGAATGCGCTGCAGTATGGTGCATGAAAATTATTAACCTGTTAGTTGCTAGGATTCATGTTTAAAAATCTGCGCGAAAATACGGTTCTTAACATTAGCTATGTGTTCTTTAACGTGGGTTTTTATTGATTTTTTAGTTTGAGAGTAGTAATAAGAGAGACCACATTTACAATCAAGCTTGTACACTCATGCATCTTGCAAAGTTACTTTACACTTGACTGATGGTAAAAACTGACTAATCTTCTTCGGTGCTCGTTATAAATTTCACAATACGCGAGCACCCCGGGTTCGATCTCCGGCACCACCAATAAAATTGTTCATGGCAACTTTTAAGTGCTGTTTTACCACGTACTCGGCGATGACGGAAATCGTGAGGAAACCGGTATGTCTGAGAAATAAAAAAAATATTTCGAAGACATCTGAAGTACGCTAACACGCTCTAGGGCAGCGCGGCGGACATTTCCTTGCCCTAAAAACCCTCTCAGAAATGAGTGGAGGCCTGTGCCCAGCAAGTGGGATGTATGTATATATATATGCAGTAACTTTAACTTTTATAACTTCTTCGGCGTCTTGAGGTATGTTTTAATAGAAGCACGCTTTAAAATGTAGCCAATCTTGTCAGTGACACCTCTGACATATGGCAGTACAGCAGGCAATCGCTAGACTGTGGCCGGTTTCACTTCACTTGTTGTCGTTCAAAACTTGCAGTATATTTAACAGTGGTAGAGCCAAGCGGCAGCTTTTGCTGTCGCACGGATGGGCCGGCTCGAACCGGGGTAGTACCACGACCTCACAGAAAACCAGCGTGAAGTAGAGGTTTACCTCTGCGTTTCGCTTGGTGAGTGCAGGTGGCTAGAGGCCTTTTTTAATGGAAATGAGGCATTTCATCTTAGTCCTCACGGGTGACAACGCATCTACATTTTGATTTGTAACAGAGGATAGATGTAGATGTCTATGGGCCGCAGCAACCACTTACAATCAGGTGGACTGTGTGCTCGTTTGTCACCCTTATCCTATAAAAAAAAAGTATAACTTGCACTAACAGCCTCCTAGCTTCCATATATGGAAGGCAAGATTGCCCTGTGATGAGGCACTGGAATACAGTGCATATGGGTTCCAGGCCTAATATGTTTAACAATAAATGATAATTTTGGTAATGTATAATAATTTGTATTCTGTAAATTTACTAACTTCTAGTTTTAAGTGTACTAACAAAGTGGGTGTAATTACCTGAATAATGAATAAATAATAATAATAAACTGCTGCACTACTATACTGCCTCTATTTGCCATATTGGATTTCGGATAACAGTTCCAGAGGTGTCGTACCTTTGACTCTACTGCCTGTCGCCGATTTTGGTATAATAAGGCAGACGTAAACGATTGTTAATATCTTCATCTATCGAAAACCATAATATTTTTCACACCCACGGGATGAAATGGAGTAGTGGGTTCTTTTACGCCTCCACCACATGGCATTTTATAATCTGTGAACATTTTGTACTTGATAATGTTTGAAATATATTTTTAATATAATTAATAGAATCAGGCGTTACTTTGCGGAAATCCATTATATAAAAGCTTTTAGAAAAATTTACTTCGCAAATATGCGCGTTATATAACGCGGATATTTGCGAAGTAAATTTTTCTAAAAGCTTTTAATATATTTTTAATTATTACTTAATAATTATAATTTTTTTCCTCAAATGGTTCTTGATGAAAAAAGTATTTTAAACTGATCCGAACAGTTACTTGACGATTCAGAGTATTTAAATAGAGGAAAATGAACTGTTAATTTAGCTCATTGAGTAAAACCGTTATTTAAACGGTAATTCCTAGATTTGCGTTATGAAATAACCTTGGTTTAGTCGTAAATTATGCGCAAAACCTTCAATTAAATATTCATGTATCTATTGTTTCTTGAATCCAGAATAAATTGTTTAGAGCAATATGTTCATTTAAATAATTCTACCTATAACAAAGTTGTTTCAAAACGAGAACGTTCTTCTTATAACCCTGTCGCAATTGCTTGGGGCATGAGGATGAGGTTAGGGCGAGTGGTGTTTGTATTTTGTGACACTTTGCTTGCGTTGGCTTTCAAAAACATTTGATACCGCGGTTCATGAATTCTAATGGTGTTTGGAAAATTATTAAATATTTTGATGTAATTATTTACTATTACGTTTATCAAATTATATTGTACCTATGCATGAAGAATGGCATCATTTTACGTTAGACAGGTAAATAAATCACATGTGATAGTGATTTAAGTATTTCTGCGTTTTCAATATACAATGACGTCAGTTTTAGTTTATTACGCAACTTTATATCGTGTTTTATTGTTCAAAAAGCTGTGGTAAAGGTGTACGAGAAAACCATTCCCCCCCCCCCCCCCCTTTAACTCTTAGGTTTCAGTTTAGTAAGTAAGTAGTAAGTAACTTTAGGTTTAAATTTTAATGGATATTAGAAAAACCGTTTGCTTTTTTCGCGTTCACGGCTGCTAAAAAAAATCATCGCAACACTATACTTTTTTTTTATAGAATATGGCTGACAAACTAGCACACAGTCCATCTGATGGTAAGTGATGGTAAAACTCATAGATATATCTACAATTAAGAAACAAAATGCAGATGCGTATTCACCTTTGAGGTTTTAGATAGAATACCTCATTTCCAGTAACAAGGGTAGGTTCAAGGATTCTCCTTACATACCATACGAAACAGTTAAGCTGCTAATTTCCACCGGTATTCTATGAGAGCGTGGACCATCTCCAGTCGCGGCGACCCATACATGCTAAAACAAACCTAATACAGCTGCAGCGTGACTCTACCACGTTTACTACGCTCTCGCTCGAGCC